GTCGGGGAAGCGATCCGGTCCTCACAGAAAACGGTCGTCTGCCGCTGAGAGCCAATAGAGCTGTAAGAGAAAACGGGTTCCGCTACCGAGAGGGATAACTGGAGTATTTATGGATGGGGATTCGCGAGGAGGATATCGACATTCTGGGGAAATAATTGGTTAGATATCGGTAAGATCTCTGGTCATTTGGGAGTATTTACAGCGGTGGCTCGCTGCTACTTCTGGTTCCTCTTTTCGCTACACAAGATTTCGGGGAATCAGACGATTCTCTTCGAACTGATAGTCTGGAAGAGGGACAACTTGATTTCTCTCTTTTTCTCATTCCTTCTTTTCAATAATTTCTTCGCAATCCTATAACGGAGTGAAAAAAAAAATCGAAACATAAAATAACCTACTAACAGGCATCATACGATCTAATATTATAATTTCACAACAACGAAAAGTGAATAGATGGGGCTATACTAAAGTGTCCATACGCGAGCCGGGACCACACACACCCTAACGCAGTCACAAATCCGTGTGAATTGCCTAACGTCGAGCCCGAGAAGACGCATTTGTATGATCCCTTTTGTAACCTCGCTACTTGCCTAAGAAGGAGACGGGGGGGGGGGGGGAGAGAATGTTTTGTGGTATATTTGCGAATTAGGAGGAGGGGGAGGAGGAAGGGAAAGAGGTGGAGGAAGGAGTAGGAGGAAGGAGAGAGAGGGAGAGAAAGAGGAGAAGGAGGAAGAGGAAGAGAAGGAGAAGGAGCATTAGGGACGGAGAAAGTAGGATGCACTGTTGTGGTAGATTTGCAAGTTAGGAGGAGGGGGAGGGGGAAGGAGAAGGAGGTGGAGGAGGTGGGTGAGGGGGAAGGAGGAGGAGGAGGAGAATGGGGGAGAAAGATGAGGAAGAAGGAGGGAGAGGAAGAGAAAGAGAAGGAGGAGGAGTATAGGGAAAGTAGAATGCTTTGTTATATTAGATTTGCTAATTAGGAGGAGGAGGGGGAATAAAGAGGAGGATGGAGAAGGAGGGGAGAAAGAGGAGAGGGGGGAGAAGGGTGGTAGGGAAGGAGGACGGAAAGTAGGGGGGCAAGAAAGGAGGAAGTGAGGACAGAGAAGATAAAATGCATTGTTGTGATATATTTGCGAAATAGGAGGAGGGGGGAGTGGGAACATGAGAAAGAGGAAGAGTAGAAGGAAGATAAAAGAAAAGGAGAAGGGTGAGGAGGAAGAAGAAAAGGAAAGAAAGGAAAAAGAGAAGAAGTCAAAACGACAAAAAGTCATCAAGAATCTTTGTTTCTACCGCATCTTCTCAACATTCTAATTTCCTATATATTTCGTATAACCTTTAGAATCCTTTTGTTGATATAATAGACTAATCATACAATAAAATCTTGGAGTTTAATCGCAGAATTCTGTCTCTTTTTTCTCAAATTCGTCTGAGGTTCTTTATCTAGTCAGTCTTTAATGTTGTTGTTGTTGTTGTTGTTGCTGTTCTTTTATTGTTGTTGTTCTCGCTGTTGTGTTGTAACTGTAGCTGTTGTTTTTATCGTTGTTTTATTATCATCGTTGCTTTTTATTTTAATTTATTTCAAAATAGATTCGGAGAAACTATAATATATGTAAGAGAGAAGAACAGAAAACGGGGAATCAAAGGCCGGAAAAAGAGGTAACGCTCGGGGAGGGGGTAGGGAGGGAGTGGGGAAAGGGGTGCGGGATGGGGGGGGGGTCCTGTCCCGTTCATTCGTTAATTGGATTTCGTTGTGTGATGGAGGGCCGACGGAGCGCAGGTGGGCCTTTGCATTGCTCTAACACGGGTGCGCACATGTGTAATAGGTAGGTGCTCGCTCCCTCGTTTTATCTGTTTCACTCTCTGTGATGAATTCTCTGTCTGTTTTATCTATCTGTCTGTCCCTCCTTGTTTGTGTGTTTTTCGTATATTTGTTATTCTGTTTGTGTTTCTGTCTCTCTGTCTCTCTATCTTTCTGTCTTTCTGTCTTTCTGTCTTTCTGTCTGTGTGTCTGTCTGTCTTTCTGTCTGTCTTTCCGTCTCTCTCTCTCTCTCTCTCTCTCTCTCTCTCTCTCTATCTATCTATCTATCTATCTATCTATCTATCTATCTATCTATCTGTTGGTCTCTCTCTCTCTCTCTCTCTGTCTATCCATCTGTTTACCTGTCTATCTATTTATCTATCTATCTCACGTTCTCTTTCTCTAACTCTGTCACTATCAATCTATTTATCCATATAAATACATACACACACACACACACACTCATATATATATATATATATATATATATATATGTGTGTGTGTGTGTGTGTGTGTGTGTGTGTGTGTGTGTGTGTGTGTGTGTGTGTGTGTGTGTGTGTGTATATATATATATATATATATATATATATATATATATATATATATATATATATATATATATATATATATACATACATATACATACATATATATATATATATATATATATATATATATATATATATATATATATATATATATGTATGT